GGAAGTTCCTACCCCTCTTTTGTGATGTCAGAAACTGGAAGTGATGAGGATATAGTCACTTCCGGATTCAATTTTTGTTGACAAGCCATTATCAGCTTGTACAGCATCTGATCAAACAGATTTCAGTTTGACCAGAGGCTTTGAAGGTCAGAGGAGAGTTCTGGGGTCTAAAAGATCCCAGACTTCCCATAAAGAGGACCAGTTCAATCCATGCTATCACAAGGGATGAAGTTCACTCCTTGTGATAGCAATAAAGGTCATTTAAAACATTAGGGTATAGTGTTAGAAAAAAAATACATTTAAATAAATAAAAATGTAAAAAATGCACAGTGGCTAAATGGTTAGCACTTCCTCCTGGCAGTACTAGGGTTGTTGGTTTAAATCCCAACCACGGCACCACCTGCCTGGAGTTTGCATGTTCTCCCTGTCCCTGCGTGGGTTTCCTCAGGGTACTCCGATTTCCTCCCACTCTCCAAAGACATGCTGGTAGGTTAATTGGCTCCTGTCTAAATTGGCCTAAATAGGGACTTTTGACTGTATGCCCCTTGAGGGTTAGGGACTGATGTGAATGTACAATATATATGTAAAGCACTGCGTAAATTGACGGTGCTATGCAAGTACCTGAAATAATAATTATGTAAACGTTGACCACGCCACACATGAGGTATTACCACGAACGTCAACAAGAGGATTCATTTTTAGTGCCAGATCTCCTGTGTAACTCTAAACTGATAACCTTTAAAGCATTGCATATGGATATTTGGGTACCGTAGTTGGTTGCCGTTCTACAGCCGTATGCAATCTTATAGTGTGACACTTGTCAGTAGTACAGGAAGCGAGGACATATACTTTTAAGAGGAGGGGCAATTAGAGAGCATACACAATATCCTATGCTAATAATTCTGTTAAACTATATTATATATGTTATGTTTGTGGTAGCAGTCCAGTACTAATAATATTTGTAGTAATATTTATCAGGCTGAGCACCAGCAATCAGGCAGACTGAATCCAGACCCCAGTTCTAATGAGTGTGCATATTCTCGTGTCTAAACTTTATTTAGACCTATGATTGGGATACACAATCTAGCCACTGGAATTGGTGTTTATCGCAGTTTCTCATGGCTGCATTTTATTTTAGTTACCCTCATGGTCGAGCAGCTGCGCATCTTGCAGGCTCTTACATTATACAACTTTCCCAGCCATCTCAAGGTCTTATTTTGTTGGCTAGGAGATATTATTTTTTTTTGTAAATATAAAGTAAAACCTAAGGCAAAACTTTTTGAGATTAATTAGAACACCCATTAGGTTTTTATAAAATTAAAAGATCCCAAATTTTGGGTTGTCCCCAGAAAAGTAATAGAGGAGAAATCTTTCAAAGGGGACACTATACTGGTGACCTTGGTGTCCCAAGGGATTCCCTTGATTTGCAGGGATTTCCTCTAATATCCTGTTTTTGATATGGGACAGGAAGTGAAGTGAAATCTCCGCAGTGGGACACAGATGGCAAAAAAATAATTTGACGGGTTATAACCCTCCCTTACTTTATCCCAAATGAAAAACGTTTTGCCTAAAGTTCTACTTTATCCTTAGCTTTACCAAAAATGATCTGATATAGGTTTTTATGTGCTCTGAATTCATCATATGTCATTATAATAGGCATGTTGACAATGGGAAGTAAGCATCCTGCAATCTACTTTTGCAGTTCATACAAATGGCAAATGTCATCAAGTTATTCTCTGCTGTCCTTGTATTTTCAATTGCAAACATTTAGCTTTGTCACCCTTAATTTTGTAAAGCCTATGTTTACCAGTCACTGATTGTACAGTGAAAGGGCATCACCGTAGTGACAAGTGACAAGCTTTGCTTTTCCCTCATGTAAGCAAGCTTTACAGTGCCTGGAAAACATTTTGAACTGACAGCAGTGCAGTACAGTTTTAGTTATAACTGCTGGCCCAGGTAATTCATACATGTTTATTAACGTACAGCACTGAGCGAACTATCGGCGCTTTATAAATACTGTATAATAATATGTCCAAAAATGCAGCTATTGCTGTACCTCTGGTACTCTGTGGGTATGAGACCTGTTGCTCCTGTACAGGGAAGCAATCCTGACATTTACCTCCTCTCCCCTTGTCTATTCACAGAACACCTTGTATGTTGTGAAAAGCTAATAGATTCAAGGCATTTTGTGAATGAATGAGGGATGAAGAGGGCAGATAAACAACAAGCTGTACTTTCTGACACATACAATTGTGAGGATTGTTTCTATTTGCAGTCCAGCACATCTGACCAGTGGTTTTCTTTTTTGTTTTTTTTTGTTTTTTTTAACAATTAAGTATTTTTTTTTTGTTTTTGCCTGGAGTTCAGCTTTAACATTTTCTATATACAATGTAAGCTGAATTTTAAAGTAACTTTTATGTTTATTTTTCTGTATAGGCCTGATTTAAACTCATGTGCCTGACAGGGAACCTCTGTTAGCTGTATTCCCTAGGCATCAGATCTTTTTTTGACTGTGAATGGGATAAAACCAGAATGCCAAAGACTGCTGACTGGACATTTTCTGTGGCTTGTCAGTTCTTGGCTCAGTCCTCTATCTGGGCATCATGGACAAACTGTTCTGAAACAGCAGAGCTTTTCAGAAAGTATTTAGGATGCTCATATGTTTTGACAAAAGCACTAGCGCACTACCTCTGTGTCAAGACAGCCTAATCGTATATGTCAACCCAATTACCTTGGTTCAGAGGTTTTTGTGATCAGATTGCCTTATGCCATTCTGTCAGATCTGGACCAGGAATTTATTAAAACAGATATGCTGGCATTAATGATGAAAACAAAGGCAATCTATGCACACTTTCAGGAAAGCACAAGAGGTCTGATTCCACCAATATTCAACATTCATTTTCTGACGGTAAATTATTACTCACCAAATTTATACATTTTTTCTAGCACATTTGCTGTTATTCATATACCTTACCTCTTTTAAAAAAAAAGATTAGTCAGTGTTTGGCTTTCTTCTTTATTTCATTTTTTGCAATAAATGTTGATTTCTTTATTATTTTCTGAACTTCATGTTACTAAAACCACAACAGTAAAATCTGTTTCTATATGCAGTAAAGCATGCTTGTTCTCACTGTGGAACCTAAGGGGTTAAACCTTTGCATTGTATAAAAGGGCTGTTTGATCCTGCCTTCTCTGATCCTCCCCTTCCTCTACTGTCCCCAATCCATTTGCTGATAACATAGAGCCTTGGGGCGAGCTGCACATGCTCAGTTTGGTGTGTATTGCTAGATTTTTTTTTTTTGTTTTGTTTTTTCTCTCCTTGGGAGAGTGCATGTGATCAGCACAGGGCCAGTTAGCGCTGTCCAGACAGAGGGTTATGGGTTATGCAGCCTTATAAGACAATCAAGGGAGAATGAAAACTCCTACAACAAGATTAACCACTGCTCTGCTGGACACTGTTAGAAGTCACAAGACTGCTTTAACTGCTGATGAGAAAAGGTATTTAACAGTTTATGTTTACTAAGATATTTGCATTTCCATGTTCTGTGTACTGTGGGAGACCAGATATAGTGAATGCAAGGCCCTGGGTTTTGTAACACTTTAAGCATATGTCACTTGTTTTCCATTGACTTTCTATGGAGAACTGTGCTACTTGTTTGCTTAAAGTGGTTGTAGATGCGGAAGGTGTTTAACTTACTGCATTGTATGCAGCAAGGTAAAAAACCACCTGCATGCAGTTTCCCCTACAGCCCCCCTAAATACATACCTGAGCCCAATCCTGATCCTGTGATGTGCATAAGAGCAGAGGCTCTCTAGGCTCTTTTGCTTCTCATTAGCTCAGATAAGGCAGCAGAAGCCGTGGTCTCCCATTGCTGTCAGTCAGAGCCAGCGATGAGGGAGGGGGCGGGACTGAGCCTTGCTCTGTGTGTTCATAAGACTTGGAAGCGAGCTCCTGAGCTTGCATGCATGAGTGCCTCCTTAGCATGTGGCTTGCTGTGGGAGTGAGGAGCCAGGAGCACCACAGGGAGACCGAGGACGATCGAGCCTGCTCTGTGCAAAACCACTGCTCATAGCAGGTATGACATGTATATATTTATAAAAAATTAACCTATAGAATCACTTCCAAGTCCACCTATGCTGCAGATTCACAAGACTGTTACTTGCCATTAACTGTATTCAGCCACAAGATTACATATATGCACTTTTGAAATGGTGAAAAATCTACAGTACCAATATTAAGAGACCCATTAAATTGCAGCTCATGCCTAAATGATAGCCTTAAGTTTATTTTTCTACTTGTAATGCAAATGGGGACACCTAATAGCCATCATGACCATGTCCTCTATGTTCTTCAGGCTGGAAATGGATCAATTTGCCAGGATATTGGCATTTATAAAGCTAGCCCAAAACACTGATATTGGTGTAGATATTGCAAATCAGGGTTAAATGGGGTAGTAGTATTTGTTCCAACTACTACTATCAGATGAAAGAACATGGTACTTTTTCAGTCAAAACCAGCTAGACCAGGTACAAGAAGTAAAGTTTAGACTTGTTCTAGTAATCCATATGCTGCACCCTCTGCATGTAATTAACACATCAAACAGCAAACAATTTGTTTACAATTACAGCACTTGGTTTTCAGATGGTTTTAAGGTTTTTGTTTTTATTTATTTCTGCTTTTGTACTATTTCACTATCTTACAACTTTCACCTTTTATACAGTGTCTAAAGAAAATAAGCGTGTGCAGTCTTTAGTTCCTGTCGGGTTTTTTTTTTTTTCTTTTTTATTCTCCCAGATCAATATGAGAGAGTGATAGAATTAATCTGGGGTCTGTGGACTGGTGACATCACCTTGGAGCTAGAGGTCATTGAAAACAATGTGCAAAAAATAAGCCCATTTTATTGCTTACTCCCAAAATACTTGAAGCCACTGTATAATCTCTCACTTGATGAAAGAAAAAGTAACTGAATGTTTTGTGTTATGTTTTTATTTTCTCCACAGCATCCTTGCCGTTCATTATTATGACACTGGTAAACAGGCCATACAAACGAGGTTTCTATTGCGATGATGAATCAATTAGATACCCATACAAAGAAGACACCATAACTCATGGTCTAATGGCTGGAGTCACCATTTCCTGCACAGTTATTATTGTAAGTATTTACAGAGAAATAATGCAGTGGTTAATGCTAATGATGAACACCTATTTATAATTGGGAATTATACCACTAATGGCATAAATGAAAAGAAATTTTAATTTTGCAGTCAAACTTCCATCCCAAACAGAGTTAAAAAAAAAAAAACAGTACTAAGGAAAGTATGTTGACTTCCTTCTTCTGAAAATGTAATATTTCCTGGCATGCTAATCATTTTGGCTTTAGTACTTGATATGCATGTTCCAGGTTACACATGATATGCATGTTCCAGGTCAGGGTTTTGAAAAGTAAGGAAGCTTCTGGATTACTAAGACAGCCAGGCAACTATAACTTTTCATAGACGTCAGCAGTAGAAGACTACATGCTCTCTCAGCACAGGTTTCCTTTACGTATATTATGAAGTTGTTTGGCTGTGTTTTCATTCTTTGGGCATTTATTTTCTAGCCATGTTTGTATATTTTTGATTCTTGCACACCTGTACAGATTGAGCAAATGCGGATAGAGTATTACAGGTGTACCTCGGGTTACGAAATTTTTATGAATTTTTTCACAATACGAAGTGTATGTCGGTGCCGATTATTAAATGCAATTGCCAGCTTTTTTTTTTTTTTTTTTTTTTCTTCACTATAGCTCACAGAATTAGCTGTCACTTTCCCCAGATTTAAAGGAAACTTTGTTTCTTTTAAGAAACTAAAAGGAAATATTGTTTCTTTTAACTTTTGGGAAATAAACTAAAAGGAAACTTTCTTTTAGCTGGGGGGGAAGTGACAGCTGAATCTGAGCTATAGTGAAGGTAAAAAAAAAGCAGTAATTACATTTAAAAACCGGCACCATAATAAATTAAACGTAGTGGGGTCCCCCCTCCCATCCATACTAAGCCCTTCAGGTCTTGTATGGATTTTGAGGGAAACTCCCATGCCAAAATGTTTTAAAAAATGGCGTGGGGGTTGTCCCCAACCCCCAAAGAATACATACCAGACCCTTATCCGAGCATGCAGCCTGGCAGGTCAGGAAATTGTCACATGGGGCGGGGTCACTCGGGTGATGTCCCCAGGTGGCCACGCCCCTTACATATTTAGGAACTGTCAAACCACTGGAGCAGGCAGACGGCGGGAGCCATCGTTGGAATCGGAGCCTTTTTATTCTTTTTTCAGGTCGGCGGTGATAGCGGGCATCGTGATTGATGTTGGATCTGCAACAGAGGACATTCTTTTAGTTTTTTCTTTTAATAAAGGACTTGTCAAAGACCGTGTCCTGTCTTTTCACACTACACTTTGCTTTTTGTGAATCAGTAGCGGGATCATGTACCCCATACTCATTCACATGGGGCCCAAAAGCAACCCCGCCCGCCCCCCCCCCATGTTGAGGGCATGTGGCCTGGTATGGTTCGGGGGGGCGCCCTCACTCATGTCGTCGTCCCCCCTTTCCTGACCCCTGCCAGACCTGTATGCTCGGATAAGGGTCTGGTATGGATTTGGGGGGGGGGGGGGTGGCGCCACGCTATTTTTTTTTTTTTTTCGGCGTGGGAGTGTCCCTCAAAATCCATTCCAGACCCAAAGGGCTTGGTATGGATCGGGGGGGGGGGGGGGGGGGGGGCCCAATGCCATTTTTTAATGTTTTCTTAATTGCCGGCAATTTTTACATTCAGCTGTTACATTCACTGACAGCTGAAACATTAACACTTTGTTGTCACTGCTAAAATACTGCAAGACTTGATAAAATAACTTATGCTGTATTTTAGTAACATTTACTTTTTTCTGACCTCTGGAACAGATTAATTGGTTTTCAGTGCATTCCTAAGGGAAAGAGCGTTTCGGTTTACAAATTTTTTGCTATACGAAAAGTCGTGCAAAACTAATTAAATTTGTAAACCAAGGTATGCCTGTATATATTTTATCATTGAAGCTACTTCATTATTCCTTCCAAAGTTTTAGTGTTTTGGCCAATTTGAAGATATAATTTTAGGGTAATTGTAAGATTGAACATTTGCACCTTACTCAGTTGAATTCAAGTACATTTCTTTATGGGAGATTTATATTTGTTTCAAAGGCATTAAGATGCAAAAAATTTATAATTGATTCATTTTGTTACTTTAAGGCCACATTTACATCAAGCAATTTGAAATGTGTGTTTTTGCACGACACCTGTAGGGCAGTCCATTGATTTCAATCTGATGCCCTACGCTCAACAAATGTGGCAAAGTAGCTCATGCAGCATTTTGTCACTTTCATGTTTGCTTCCCACGTTTGGGGTGCCATTAACAGTTAGCCTAGGTTCACATTATGAATCACAAAGGAACCAAACTGCATTCCTGGACAATTCACATTAATTTTGAATGGGCTCAAATTGCACCAAATTAGGGTTGCACTGATATTGATAGTGCCGATACTAAGCATTTGCATGAGTATCAGTATTCATGCAAATGCACCAATACTAAAAACCGATACCCTGTCACTTACACACACAAAAGCCCGGCTTCTGCGTGTAGAAGTAACAGGCTCCTCTCCCGGCGGTGCCCTTTCTGTAATTTCCTAATACAGCAGAGAATGAGGGGGGCGGGGAGGATGTGCACAGCTCCAGTGCAGCCAATGGTAGATCCAGTGCGGACTGTCAGCCAGCCATTCCGCTGCTCTGAATCCTCAGGAACCTGCAGTCATTGTGGTTAGGACTGCCATCGTCATAGCAACCAATGATGTCACATGAGCTCCCACCAGGCACTGTGGAGTGAGTCTACAGGTATGGGGGGCTCTGATGGGGGAATCTAATGTAAGGGGGCTGTGATATAAGGGAGACTCTTATGGGGGAATCTGATGTAAAGAGGACACTGATGGTGGAATATGATGTAAGAGGGGCTCTGATGGTGGAATATGATGTAAGGGGGGCTCTGATGGTGGAATATGATGTAAGGGGGGCTCTGATGGTGGAATATGATGTAAGGGGGGCTCTGATGGTGGAATATGATGTAAGGGGGGATCTGGGGGAATCTGATAAGGGGGGCTCTGATGGGGGAATATGATGTAAGGGGGGCTCTGATGGGGGAATATGATGTAAGGGGGCTCTGATGGGGGAATATGATGTAAGGGGACTCTGATGGGGGAATCTGATGTATAGAAGGGCTCTGATGGGGGAATCTGATGTATAGGGGGGTTCTGATGGTGGAATCTGATGTATAGGGGGGTTCTGATGGTGGAATCTGATGTATAGGGGGGTTCTGAAGGTGGAATCTGATGTATAGGGGGGTTCTGATAGGGAAATCTGATATATGGGGGGGTTCTGATGGGGAAATCTGATATATGGGGGAGCTCTGATGGGGAAATCTGTTATATGGGGGCTCTGATGGGGGATACTGTCCAGTGCTGGGGAGAAGGGGCTGTACTGAAGCTGGAGATCACTTCCGTGCAGATATGCAGGACTTTCAAGTCAGAGTTGGTAGGAGTTCGGTAGGTGATTGTGTTAGAATCAGGTAGGCCAGTCTGTGTAGTAGTCAGGTAGGTCAGTGTAGGAATCAGGTCAGTTTCCCGCACTGTTCCTTTGTGCACCCAGGCTTGTCATAGTGACTAGTTTCCTAGCCTGGTTTCACAGAGGAGCAGTGCGTACATTTTTGATTCAGATAGGAATCGCACCGCATTCCTGTTAAAATCACATGCAATTTTTGTTCAGTGCAAGTTAAACCCATTCATTTTTTTTTTCGGCTCAAATTGCACTGCACTGCGTGAAAAATAGGTATCGGTAATTGTTATCGGCGAGTACCTGATAAAAGGTATCAGTACTCATTCTCAAAAAAATTGGTATTGGTGCAACCCTACACCAAATCCATATCAAAGTCCTGCATGCAGCAATTTTGGGAATGCACTCAAACCAGATCGCGTGATCATTTTTGTACCATGCAATCCGGTGCAGGCAAACACTGTGTGGTGTTTTTAAGATTGCAAGGGCACCCACTGCAAATCGTAAGAGCAGTGCAATTTGAATGCGTTGGGGGAAATGTGTACGGGTCGCGGGGTTCCCACTGCGCATTCTAGTGGGAACCGAGACTTAATGGCACCACAAGTGTTTGTGTATACAAATTGTTATTCAGTCCACAGCAGAGAATTTCATGACACTGTTTTTTCCACAGATCACTTCTGGAGAAATGTATATGGTATTTTCAAAGCGTCTATACTCCCGCTCAGAGTGTAATAACTATGTGGCTGCACTCTACAAGGTGATAGGAACATTCCTGTTTGGTGCCTCTGTCAGTCAGTCTCTCACAGATCTGGCCAAATACATGATAGGCCGACCACGTCCCAACTTCATAGCTGTGTGTGACCCTGACTGGAAAATGATTAACTGCTCTGGATATGTGACAGAATTTGAATGTCGTGGCAGCCATACCAATGTGACAGAGTCAAGGTGAGTGTCGTAAAACAAAAGTACTTTGTTTAAATAAGCAGTGCATAAGTGCCACATGAGTCACTTCACTTTGTTATACTGCTTGATTCATTAAAAACAAAAATATTCAAGGTATAAAAAAAGTGGATTTGTAGATAATAGGCCATAGAAATGTCCTGGAATCCTGCAGGCTAAGTAATAACACGGACTATCTATTAGATTCAGTTACTGTGGCACTGAAAGCATACTGCAGATGTGGGTAGGAATTGCTCCCTTAAATTTAACAATAGATGGGGATTCTGAATGAAGAGGAGCCCTGATGCAGGACAGATGAAAAATGGAAAGGGGATAATGGCTAATTCCAAGTAAACTTTTTAATCTGTGTTTTCAGAGTCTTTCACAGAAGTATTGAGTATTGTACGGTACAGTACAGGCAAAATATAGCACTGTCTCCCACCTCCATAGTGCACTGATTTACATTAATTTTGGATTGATACTGGTTTTAGTATCATGAATGTTCTCATTTTGTTTGTTTTTTTTTGCAGGTTGTCTTTCTATTCTGGACACTCTTCATTTGGAATGTATTGCATGTTGTTCCTCTCGGTAAGTATGTCTTCAGGTGTTCTTGTACTGTTATGATACATTAAATCTATCTCCACTTCACCGTTTGCTTTTCGGTGCCTATTCTATTAGGAAATTTTACTTCTTGTTTTTGGAAACATCATTTTAGAAGTTCTACACTTAGATCTTTTGAAGTGTCTTGAGTGATAAATAGAAACCCTTTAGAACGTAGACAGTGAGCCATACGGTGGAAGTACATCTTTTGTATTGTGTGCACTGAATTTTATTGTTCTCATGTGACAGAGAAAAAGGATCTTCATTTTTAGCCTGACAAGTATTTTTCGGTAGGGATTTGCCATTTATTTTAGTGAACTAAAACCAATTCCTTTATTTTGAAGAAACTGGTAGGATTTAGTCAACTACTGTATTGCTGCAGGTGTTTTGGGACGATAGTAGAAGTGTCCTATGCAGGGTCTGGTGACATTACTGTTTAACATAAAGCTGAACCCGATTGTAACAGCAGTGGTAGGAGCAAAATCTTTTTTAAGGTCTCAGAGACATCAGGCAACCTAGCAGGGTTAAAACCGTGCCTCTGTTCACAAGAAACAATGTAAGTGATGTTTTGAATGAACTGTATATAGTTCAGCTTAGTGAAATGTAAAGTTGGAACTCTAGACAGACTGCCAAATGCACCAGTTAAAAATATATGTTGGAGTGGTTTGCCAAAAGATTTATATTTCTGTCCGTCCAGTCCTGAGATTCACACAGCACAGTTTTATCTGGCAGAGGAGGGGACCTGATTTTTCTCTGTTGTAGTTTAATAACGCCTACAGAATTGGTCCCTCCCCAGCCTGTGACTGGTAAGTGAAAGGAGAAGCTGCAGATTCCTTTAACTGCTTCTCCCTCTTTCAGTCTGAGCTCTGCTTTACAATGGACTGCAGTAATTCAATGCAAGGTTAAAGTCCTAAAGGCCTTGTTCACCATGGGCTTCAGTTTGTATAAGAGCAGTGTGGGATCTTGTTTTGGGCACACTTTGTGTTATGCCAAGCTTTTACAAAGCATTTTTAGCATTTGGCACCCCCCCCCCCCCCCCCCCACCCCAGAGCAAATATTTAATTTTTTTGTGCATGGGAACTGAGGGATCAGCGGTGCTTGATTGCTTAGTTCTTGGTCTTAAAAACACGGGGGGACTGATACTGCATCTACCTAGGCAAGTATAAATGTTTGGGGTTTTTTTTGGTTTTTTTTTTCCATTCCTGAACTTCTTTTAAAGGAATCATTTTATATACCAAATGTTTTGTGTTTCTGTGAATCCAGTCCCGAGGTTTACACAGTTCTCCCACACTGCACAGCCCTATTTAGCAGGAGAGAGAACTTGATCTTTCTCTGCTGCATTTTTACTTGTACAAACAGGTCTCCTGCCCACCCTGTGACTGAACAGTGAAGGGAAAAAAACAGAAGACTGATGCCCTAGTTCTTGCTACGCTATCTCCTATCAGCACGATGTAATAGCCATTACAGAACTGTATTCATTTGCATTCTGCTAACTGCCTGGACTTTTGCTTTTGAGGTTTTTTTTTCTTGCTGGCTGAGAAATTTATTGTGAAGTCATGCTTATCACCTGGTAATTTCACGTGTAAGCTTGTATTGCAGTCTCAATTAATTTTTTGTTAAGGGCACACTTTGTATTATGTCAGCTGATGTCTGCTGCTGCACTACATCTAAATGACAGCTCTAGTTTTCAAGGTGCTTTGACCACAGGCACGAACATGTATGAAACCCCTTGTGGTAGAATCAAGGATTGACAGAGGGACATTACAGGTTTTTGAAAAACGTCAGCTTTAAATTAGCATTACTGCTAATAAATAAGTTGATAAATTAGCATTACTGAAAAGATTTCAGAATTTTACAAAAAGCTTTTATCCACAAACTACCCTTCCCTGAAAAACACTTTCTTCAAACATAATCCGTTTCCCACAGCTCACTGAGATGAAAATTGATTTAGCAAAATCCATGAATTGATATTTGTTATAATTGGGGCCTTTTTTAGGAGTGAAAATATTTTATTTTTCTAGGTCATAGGTTACTGTGAGTTAAATGCAATACTTTTCATGAAGCTATTATAAATGAAAATATTCTTTTTATTTCTAGTTATATGTCCAGGCCCGGTTGTGTGGAAAGTGGGCTCGCCTTCTGCGGCCCACTGTACAATTCTTCCTCTTCTCCTTTGCCCTGTATGTTGGATATACACGTGTATCTGATTATAAACACCACTGGAGTGATGTTCTGGTGGGACTTCTTCAAGGGCACTTGTTGCTGCGCTCACAGTAAGTTTACTACTTGTCTTTAAGACGAAAAGCCTAATAAACTATATGAACTATAAAGATTTTATATACATATTTATATTGCATATGATTCTGATCATTGATGTCATTACTTACTTTTCTCTTGCAACACAGGTCTTCTGATTCTTGACCATAGGTTTTTATCGCCACCTACAGAAGTAGGACAATAGGCAGGAAAGAACTCGGTACCACCTATGGGCAGTCCTAGCTGGTATAAAAACCCCTTCTCTGCTATAGGCAATCCTGTTTTTCTGCCTAGCGTTCAGGAGTAAGGACCTAGTTCCCTGCTGGGACCTGTGGCTCCATAGCATTTTTTACCTTTTTTCCTGTAGAGCTCTTCAATCAACAGCTGGGCTGGGTGATGGGCTGGAAAATCTAGATCCAGTGGTCACCGCAATCTGGCCATCAAACTTTTACAGACCTGAAGCTCAGTGCTTGGTTGGCTGCAACTAAGCCCTTTCCTAGACTGGGGCAGGCCAGCGAGTTAAACGTCTCGCAGGAACACATATGACCGGTTGTCCATAGTCCATATCAATGTTACCATGGCTGACATCACCCTCACCCACACCCTGGTTTTAGTTCCATGCCCTGTGAGCCGGACATCCATTTTGTTTTTCCCCTCCACTAGACAGTTGTCCTGAAGGATACCAGCCTGCTTGGCTAGTGTTTAGTTGTGTGCTCCAAATTGGCTTTAGACTGTTGGACTCCAGTGGAGGCTTGCTTGCCTGTCAATGTCCTGGAGCTGTGGTGCTCCGGTTGTCTCTGAAGCGCTGATCAAACCTTCTCTGGGGTCTCCTAGTCAGGATCCTGTCAGATGATGTCACCAAAGTGGCCTATACCCTCCACTAAGGTGACAAGTAGAGTGGCGGTGACGCTAGAGGCTTCTCACTTTATGCAGTGGGCGGAACAGCACATTCTGGCTCTATCCAACTTACACATTCTCAGTGTCAAGAATTGGCTGCAGATTGCCTCAGTTGTCAGTCGCTGAATCAAGAAGGGGTGTTCCTACCCCTGGATGCGTCTTGTCAGATCTGGCACCCTTCAACAGGATTGTGCCCCAGTTGTGGCATGAGTGTGGGACTGCCCCTGGTCGGATGCATTGGATGCTCTGGGGACATTGGGGGACCAGTATCGTCTTTGTTCCATGTTTTTGCCCTTCTAGCTGCTTCTTCACCTGCTGCACAAGATCACGGGATAGGGATTCCGGTCATTTTGGCAGCTTCAGGCTGCTACATTTTTGTGGTGCAGCTGGTGGTCTCGGACGCTTCCTGGTAGTTGCCTCTTTGGAGGGTTTACAGTCTCTTGCTGTTGGCATGGTTCTTGCAAGTCAGAGTTGGTGGAACATGGGGTTTTCAGTTTTTGGGTTTCCCAATTATGTTGACGGTTCGTGAGTTCCTCTTTTGGATGATGTATTTTATGCCTGGGGTAAGTTCTGGCTGTCTTTTTCTGTTAACACCACCCCCCAGGTGGCTCAGGTGTTTGCCTTTCTTCACCAGGGTATTGCACAGCATCTTGCCTTGAGTTTTCCTTACAGGTCAAGTTCTGCCCTCGTCGTCTTTCTTCAGCGTCTCTTGGCCATGCATTTCCTGTTTGCACCTTGAGTCAATGTGTTTGTTGTCTGGTACTCACCATGCCCTAACTGTTGCCGTTGGACTTGCATTGGGTCTTTTGGTTCTCCCACAGCTTTCCTTTGGAGATTATCTGGATATACTCTTTCTTCATAAGTTGTCTTCTTGGTTACCATTGCTTCTATGAAGTGGGTGCCTGGGCTGGTGTCTTTTCTTGTGAGTTTCCCTAATGAGTTTTACACAAGACTGGGGAGGTTCTTGTTGGTGCCCCTCCTTTCTATTGAAGATGGTGTCAGCCTTTCGCCTGCCTTAGGACATTGTCCTGCCTTCTTTTGTCCACAGCCGTCACATTCTTAGGAGGCTGTGTTGCACTTCTTGGATGTGGGTCAGGTGGTTTGTGGTTCGTGGTTCCTGTCCACTGCAGCCTCCCGCCAGAGGTCGGCCTCTTATACGGCTCGCTGCGGCCCCAGGGCAGCCAATGAGACTCGTTTTCCCATTGACTCTGATGGAAGCTTCTGTTGTACCCTTTTAAGGGGCGGGGTCCTCCTTTTCTTCATCATGGTCCATTATACTAGGGTGCTGCGTGTATCCTGTGTGAACAGGCATCTGTTTCTTAAGTTTGTTGGGCGGCTGCCTGGTTGGTCGTCTGTGCTTACTTGCTAGATTTTACCAGTTAATGGTTTGGCCTCTGCAATGATGGTTTTTGTTCACGTGGCTGCAGGGTAATGTTTTAAGATCCTTGTTTGCCTCTTTAGGGTTTTTTTTTGGGTGTTTGGCATGTTTGCCTGGTCACTCTAGTTCAGTGGTTCTCAACCTTCCTAATGCCGTGACCCTTTAATACAGTTCCTCATGTTGTGGTGACCCCCAACCATAAAATTATTTTCGTTGCTACTTCATAACTGTAATTTTGCAGTGGGAGGAGTAGTGCCACATCATTGGTGTCAGTGAGACGAGTAGTGCCACATCATTGGTGTCAGTGAGAGGAGTAGTGCCACATCACTGATGTCAGTGGGAGGAATAGTGTCCCATCGTTGGTATCAGTGGGAGGAATAGTGTCCCATCATTGGTATCAGTGGGAGGAATAGTGCCACATTGTTGGTGTCAGTGGGAGGAATAGTGCCCCATCATTGGTGTCAGGGGGGGGGGGGGGGGAATAGTGCCCCATCATTGATACTAGTGGGGGGGGGGAATTGTGCCCCATCATTGGTGTCACTAGGGGGGGGGTAGTGCCCCATCGTTGGTGTCATTGGGGGGAGGAATAGTGCCCCATCGTTGGTGTCAGCGGGGGGGAGGAATAGTGCCCCATCGTTGGTGTCAGCGGGGGGGAGGAATAGTGCCCCATCGTTGGTGTCAGCGGGGGGAGGAATAGTTCCCCATCGTTGGTGTCAGTGGGGGGGAGGAAATAGTATTGGTGATACCAATGATGGGGCACTATTCCTCCCACTGACACCAATGATACTTACCTTGCTGACTCCTGGGCTCGCTCCCTCCCTCTCCCATCTACAGCCAGCATACCTGGCTTCAGCAGCACCATCTGCACGCTACAGACACTTACCTGTCAGCTGTCTTCCTTCTCCGGCCACTCCCTCGCTCGATCTTCTTTGATCTTCGCGCTGCTGCTCGGCTCCTCCTCTCCAAGCTCCACCTCCTCGCCGGTGATTGGCCGCCTGTGTGCCTCTCCTGAGCTACAGTTCCGGCGGCCAATCACTGGCGAGGAGGCGGAGCTGTTGAGTGATCCCGGGGATGTGGCCAGATGACAGGGGCGGCATGTCATCCCGCACACACATTGAGGTCCAGGGAAATGTGGACGTATCTGCATGTGGGCGGACCCGCCTGGAGACTGATAGCGGAGCGGTGTCTCGGTTCCTAAGACCATCGGAAATATGTGTCTTAGGAGACCCCTGTGAAAGGGTCGTTCGACCCCCAAAGGGGTCGCGACCCACAGGTTGAGAATCGCTGCTCTAGTTGGTTCTATTTTCCCCACCCCTCGTTGTGGCACTGTTTGGGACATCCCTATGGTCAAGAATCAAGAGCCATCAATAAATGTAAGAGAAAATGGGATTTTGTTTGTTAATCACTGTAAAATCCCTTTCTTTGAGTTCATTGACGGACACCAACCCCTCTATTTGGAGTTTATACTTCTGACACTGCTTTGTTACACACTGGATTGCCTATAGCAGAGAGGGGGTTTTATACCAGCCAGGACTGCCAATAGGCAGTGCTGAGTTCTTTCCTGCCTAGTGTCCTACTCCCATAGGTGTCGATATAACCCTATGGTCAAAAATCAGAAGAGCTGTGTCCGTCTATGAACTCAGAGAAAGCGATTTCTACAGTAACAAAAAAATCCCATTTTTTTTTCTTCTTCTTAACGTGTATGAAATCCTTTTTGTCTCTCCCTCCTCATATTCATACTATTCTCATAGTATAAAGTCTACCTCAAACATGTGAATTTAAGGAAAATGTGTAAGTTTGTCATTCTTTCAAATAATTTCCTCATATTAGTCTGTTTTTTTTTCTTATCTATTTCTTTTTAACTTTACTTCACAGGTGCGTTATGTGTCTGATTTTTTCAAAGTCAGACCACCTCTCCAGTGTACCAAAGACCCTCTTGAAACTAAACCAAGTCTTCAACTGTGTGAAACTGACCAGAATCACTTTGGATACCTAGGAGGATCATGAGAGTTTTCTCTGCCCCTCTCAGCTGCACCAACTTAACTGTTGAGCTTTCCCTGGCTAGAAGGCCTATATCTATGTCAGCTGGCCGCTTCAAGGGGCTAATGGACAGAACAGGCAGCTTTCTCCTAGAAGAGGCATGCTTGGATTTTTTTAAACGAGATTTTGTGACCATCCCTATTTTCAGCACAAAAGCCAAAGTAACTTTTTATATAAATTTATGTATAAAGAGAGGAATATTGATATCTCTATATTTGAATTGTGTATAAGATTGAATGTTTTGTAAGTATCTTTCCAATTTGTTGAAATGAGTGAGTGAGATTAGAGCTCGGTGTGCAATATGAAAATTTGTATGTTGTAGCCATTTTGAATGAGATTGTTTCCCTACTCCTTTACGTGGTTGGTATGAGCTGCGCATCAAAGTAGGTGCGTGGGTCCATTTTTGTGTTTTTTTTTTTCCTTTCTGATGTGTACAAACTGACTGCTTTTCTTTTGTATGCAGGAGAGATCATGCAGCAGAGCAGTTATCCTTTTCTTTTTGCATAGAATGAGTATGTGTGTGACTTGACTTGAAACCACTGATTTATACCTCTCCACCTTCAAAGGAATGACCAGAACCTATGGAGCTATGGGGAGAGGGTAAAGGAAAAGAGCCTCCTTTAACACTTGTATATATTTCGTTTATTGGGTTTAACTGTGTATATGCTATACTCCAAGTCTGTGGGCTGTAAATAAAGCAATCACCCATTCCTCATTTGGCTGTGAATGGGTTCAACATTTCTGTGTCCAACTATTAATGTGTTGCTTGCTTTTTTGTTTTTATTCTTCCCTTGTTTGTGTGTGCTTCTATGTATGATTTTGTTTCCATTTAGGACTGGTTCACACTCATGCAGTCCAGTGCATTTTTTTCTGCATCAAAAATACATGGATAATAGGTTATATGGTTTCCAATGCAATAGTTCACAACAATGCGGTCAGTTCCAGTGTGTTCCAGTTCCAGAAATAAAGGAGAACATGCTGCACTTTTCCTGCACTAAACTGTACTGGAAAACTCATAAAAAATGCACCAGAATGCAAGTCCTTATTTAAAGTAAAGAAAAAATGCACCAGAACACTTAAAAACTCATCAAAAACGCGCAAGCAGAAACTCATCTGGACTGCATTTCGATGGTGTGGACCAGGCTTAAAGACCTTATGCACATACCTCATGTCTACCTTGAACATGCACAATCCTATATACATGAACTCCCTCTACATTATGAATTTGTCTCTCCATGTTCCTTGCCACCCTATGAGCAGTGTGAAAAATGACACATTTTCTCACCATTCCCCCTAAAATGGTGGCCATAGTCTTCCTGATGTCTCCCCAAAGATAGTAGGCTGAGAGAAGGCTACCTGTTCTCAAAAGTGCTGCAACACAATCTCACTGTTTTACAACTCTGCATAAGTGATATATAGGGACATAAGTGGATACAATAGTAATCAGTGCTCAGTGAGAAGAGAGAGGATTGTTCTTGTGAGTTCTTCTGATAGCTGCAGATCTTATTGTTCCCTTGGGATGCCTTAAACAGCTTTGCACAACTTGTTTAATTTTGGTGACAGAGCTTACCCTTAATACTGCAAGGTATTTGTACACAGCCACAGTGGGAGTTGTACTTTCTCCTGTGTAATTGTTTATATGTTTATATAGCTAATGCAACTTCAACTGAAAGCACTCCAAAGTTAAATATTAGTTACAGGAAACCTTGCAGTGCAAAAAAATCAAAGTTGCCATTTCTGACTTATTTTTAAAGATTCATACTGCAAGGCTATCATTCCTGTCTTTCTTTCATGTGTCACTGACCCAGGACCTGATTTACAGTTGAGTGCCCCTGGAGCTTATACTATAAAAAGTACATTGTCTCATGCATGCCACCAGCAAGTGATATTTGTGTCATCTTTATTGGCAGACCCAACCACCTTGGAGCACAAAGTCTTTTTTTTTTTTTTTTTTTCCCCATGTAGCTTAATTTTCCTACCAAGGCACAATTGCCCTCTAGTTAGGAGTCCTAAATGGAAAGTTTAACAGATCTCTTTATAGTCATTGTGAACCAAAATGTTTACTGTTAGTCCTCATGTACACATGATGTTTTTACAGCTGCTGTTTTTGACGTTTTTTCTACAGCCAGTAAACCCCCCAGCTTGTTATCCTATGTGTCAATGCACACACAAGACTGTAATCAACATTTTTTGGCTGGAAAAAAAAACCCAGGATTAGTAGGTTTCTAGAGGAGTTTTTTAACTGTAAAAATGCTCTAACGCTGTAAGACACAGCAGACTGGCGTTTTTGAACTTTTTTTAGACAAAAAAAAAATTTTTTTTTCACAACCTCTAAAAACTGCAAACGTCACTAATAGCAGAAAAACTCTGCTAAACGCTAATGCAAAAACACTAAGAAAAGGTGAAAAAACTCACATTTTTTAACGTGACTTTACACAGCTAACATTACCAGTGTTATCAAAACGTCCAGTGTGCATGAGGGCTTATACAGAGATAGTGATCTTTTGTTTGGTATGAAGTTGAATTTAAAGCCATATCTAACTCTGAAACTTGCTTTGGATGGATCAAAATTCAGACATTTCTGTAGGAGCCATCCAAATTGGAATCAAGAAGAGTCAATCTAATGATCTTGAATGGGACTGTTGGTAAGTTTTGGTTGGATGCAGGTGCTGAACAGTGTATTCTGACAGTGGAGGAGTCCCTGCTGTCAGAATACAATAGCGCAGCGAAGAGTATTCTTCCATCCACCTCGCTTGTGTGGTTGGGAAATCTATTCAATTGGGAGACAGTCATCTATGGGCAGCTTAGGGCTCTCTGCACTGTGCAGGCAGCTATTGGTGTGAATTCCAGCAGAGAGAAGTGTGGTGTGTTTTTATCTTTTTTTAAACATTAAGCCCTTTGACACATTAAATTCTCTGCACAGCAGCTCAGTGCCTCTCAGTGTACTGTGGTAAAATTCTACATGTCTGCATTTTTGTCTACCTTACTGCACCAGAAACCACACCAGCATTGTGTGAATGGGGCAAATAGAAAACAATCTTTCAATGTGCAATAGCCATGACTTGCATTTGAGTGTGTTAAGCCCTTACTGTGTAAATGAGCCCTTAGGGCTAGTTCACACTAGATGCAGTTCAGTGTGCTTTTTTTTCTGCATCAAAAATGCATGCACTGTGTTTTCCATATATTCCAGTGGCCCTAGTTCACACCAGTGCAGTCAGTTTCTGGTGCAGAAAAAAAAAGTAGAGTATGCTGCATTTTTTTCTACACAGAGCCATACTGAAACATAGCAAATTGCATCAAAACTGCACTGGAACTACGTGTGGTGTGAACTGTGAGCAAAAACTTATCCGGAGTGCATTTTTGTAGTGTGAACTGGCCCTTAAGCTATATCCCAGGGCAGAGAAAAAACACCATGTATTCCCCTAAGGGCCTGTTCACACTACAAAAATGCACTCCTGATGCATTCTGTATAAGTTTTTGTTTACAGTTCACACCACACGCAGTTCCAGTGCAGTTTGCTATGTTCCAGTATGGTTCTGTGGAGAAAAAATGCAGCATGTTCTACTTTTTTTTTTTTTTCTGCATCAGAAACTGACAGCACTAGTGTGAACCAGTGCCATTGGAATACATAGAAAACACTGTGCATGCATTTTTGATGCAGGAAAAATGCACTGGACTGCATCTAGTGTGAACTAGCCCTAAATGTACTCCCTTAAATTGAAAGCGACTTAATATACTTATTTTCTCCTGTATTCCTAAAAAGGTACAGCACTAGGAGTCATTCAGACTGTGCTGCAACGGACATGTGCTGACTTCATTCTGCAATAAGTGGCTGTTGCTTGTTCTTAACCAGACTGGGCTCCTTCAGTATTACTGGTTGAAGTGTGTTGTGGGAAACTCTATGGCCTTGTTCACATGGGCATACTACAGCATACACTAGTACAAGGGCTGTCTTTGCCCGCATGGGGATGCACAAGTGTTTCATGTAGGCAGTCCCATTCATGCCATTTGGGACCCACAGCTGCAGGGGCCCAAATGCACACTGTCTGCATTCAGGGTTTTGCACTCGCATGGCTGTCAAACTGTTAACAAGGCCTAAACTGGCTGCACAGAATTACAAATCTTTGGCAGATTGAACACAAGTGTATCAATTCCATATTTAAATGTTTGCTTGAAGTTCTGCTTTTAACACAGTTACAACAATTGTTCCTTTAATCTGTGCTACCCAGGCAAGTAGCTTCACCTAACAGCTGTCTTTCCCAGCTGCTCAAACTTACGCAATTTTTTTTTATTTGTCTCTTGTCTGTATGTTGGGTGCCTGAGTATCATTCCCTAAACACCAGTGTTGTTGTATTGCAGGAAGGCAAGTGAGTTGCATGCATACTCTGTAGCAGGTGTTTTTAATTTCTGGCAGCCAAGGGGAGTGACACGGGAAAAGGGAATGCAAGACCGTTGAACTTCAGAGTGTATCTGTTAAAGTGGAATTCCAGGCACCCCTAGCTAATCTTAAAAATGCTCTCTCCCCTCTGCTAATATCTATTCTAACTAAGCTGTGTAAGAAAGATCTGTATACTTTCCTTTTCCAGGTTGCTCCTGGAACATGATCTCCCCTGTGTTATCCAGTGTTGGGAGCAGAGATGAGGAGAGAGCACTCCAACAATGGCTAGTAATGCCTGGCAGCATGAGGTCACCCATAGGCTTCAATAAGCCCATCTGTTGTTGGCACTCCCTCCTCTCCCCTGCAGCTGCGCTGGCTGACACAAGGGCCAAATCACATGACTGAACTGGTGTGGCCTGAAAACAGGTAAGAATACAGCTTTCTTACGCTGATCAGTCAGAATAGGTGCTATGAGGAGGGAGGGAGTGTTTTTAAGATTAGTTACGTGGGGCTGGGATACCACTTTAAGTGAACCCAATAGTTTTTCAAGAATAGGCAAGTTAAAGCATATGTTCACCTTTCCACAAAA